GCGGGGCTATATTGAACGACTGAAAGTGTGACGCGGTACGCAAGAAAGTGATGTTTGAGCATAGGATCGTTGTTGCCAGGGAAGTAGTTTAAAGTAGTTTTATCCTTGTAGTCTTGTGATGATGCCATATATGTATACAAGTCTTAATATATTTCGTACAAGTCGTTTCATGTATTAGTATGGTGGAATAAATACTAGAGTCTACTAAAGTCGTTCTATCAAGTCATTCGTGTGATTTGATGTCGTCGTGCATTGGGATGAACTAGTGAACGGCTAGACAGAATAAAATCGTAGTGTTGGACCCTCTCACTGCTATCTGCGGGGTACATAGAACCTAGTTATAACAATACTAATTTATATACAATATATCTAAATTTTCGGCAAATGTATCACCTTTCGCCCACCATCTCCTACAGTATTCTAGTTTACTGATCGGATAGCAATATAAGAATAAGTGTTACTTGCTTCTCTTCAATACAGTGATCCAGCCAATATGTAATTTAATGAAATAAAACTATCTGACAACCCTCACTTTCAAGTTGAGAGAATCGTTAGAAATTTAAAAACAACTAGTTGCGTAATTTCTTAACAAAACTGGCTAGTGAAATTGTACATTTAGGCTTAATACCATTGGATTGTATTCTAAGTGTTGAACGGTTTTTCTAATCACCGTTCCGTGTAAATCTTTTCTATTTACATTGGCTAAAAAGCGCGCCAGCCACTATTTTAAAAGGATTGATTTCTTTTTTTAAGTGTTGAAGGTTTTCTACTCACCAATCCAGTATACATGCTAACGATTTTATTAAGCAAAAAAGCACATCCCTCCCCTTCCCCCCCCCCCCCTTCGCCCTGCACCATCTTGATTAGTCATTCTCGTTTTTATGGTTAATCAATCATACAATACGATTTAATACAATTGGTTTCTTTTGTATGTGGTAACGTGTAAATTCTTAAGATTTTCCTAGGAAAAGCTGGAAAGCAGTTATTGTGGATCACTGCTTCTAAAGTTTATATGTTTTACAATTAGACAATCAAGGTAGAAAACACATAAATCATTATGTACAGACTTGTAGCCATTAAATTTCTTAACTTAGACTGTTTATAATTAAAAGCTGCAGCATAAAATCAGCTTTTAAATTGTTTTCCACACCTCTTGCGTTCCCGTAGGGTTGGAGTCAGGAGAGACCGCCCCCACCCCGCCCCCTAGCTACGCCTCTACATTGCACGTCAATTAAATTTGGCTTACATTAAAAAGATTTTAAAAACTTATTCATAAAAAGTTTATATAATATTATGTACTTAAAAGAGTAAATAAATAAGTTTCTTTAAATATATAATAGTAAACTGCTATATAAATAACTAAAAAGAAATGATACAGGTGTCATTATCTATTTTAAGCACTTGTTTAACTGTTTGTACAATATTTTCAATTTACTAAAAACCTAATCCCTAAAACAGCTAAACAGATGTTGTTATGGTACGTTTTCTTTCAACATATTTGGAAACTGAGCCTATGTTGATAAATTGTAAGAAGAAAGAAAAAAGAAAAAGAAATGATACAGGTGTCATTATCTATTTTAAGCACTTGTTTAACTGTTTGTACAATGTTTTCAATTTACTAAAAACCTAATCCCTAAAACAGCTAAACAGATGTTGTTGTGGTACGTTTTCTTTCAACATATTTGGAAACTGAGCCTATGTTGATAAATTGTAAGAAGAAAGAAACGAATAATAGTAATACTCAATCTTTGTAAACGTTATTTATTTGGAAATAGTTAAACCTTATATTAATTCGACTTAAAATTAGGGCAAATAACATAAAATATACTAATCAATGTAGGAAAAAATGAACAGAAAGCTTATAGTTGACATAGATTATAAAATGATAAAAGCTTTCATTACCTGTATAACAATCCATCCTCCACCGTCTGTTTTGGTATCACACAAGGCGAGTTTGTTTTCATTTAGTTGGACTATCATTTGTTCTGGTAGACTTGAGCTTTTTTTCCTGATACACTGGACATTGAGAAATTAATATTTAGTTTTAAAACTAGTCGTTTAAAGTAGTATATTAGTTCACACAAAGCCATTGCATACTTCAATGGGAATAATTTATTTTTACATTATTTTCTGTTAAAACACGTTAAATTGTTTGAAGTTAAATGAAAGCTCAATTAATACAAAGTTGCATACTTGTTTCTTTCAATAAAAAAAACTGTTTAAACTAGCAAGCTATGTAAACACATAAACAAAAATGTAAAATTTCCTGTAGAGTAATTCACCTGATTTGTATATTTTAAAAACAATGCAAGATGGTTGAAATCGTCTTTAAATTCGCGTAGAGTTTTGTTGAGACCGGCTACCAAATTTAATGTTGTATTAATATACTCTTCTTTTATTTTATTTCCCATTTCATTTAATCTGATACTTAGTTCTTCTGTTTGGTTCTGTGTGTTGACTAACTTTGTTAGCACTGATTCATTTAAAACAGCAAAACTATTTTTATTCAAATCAATTTTTGAACTGAGTTTGTTTTCCATAATCTGTAACGTTTCGTTTACATCATGAGTTAAATTCTTTATTTTATCATCCAACATTTTATCATCAAGGGTAGAGGAACTTATCTGTTTATAATTGTTATCTCTTGGATTAAAATTTTTGTCTGTGCTGAACTTATCGCCACCAGAATGTGACATCTGTAATGACATTGTCATGTCTGCACCTTTCAGTCTGTCTGGGTCTTCAAACGATTTGAGAAAATCGGCCATTGTGTCAACAGATTTAACATAGTCAGAAGTTTTAGCTTTCAAGTTCATCATTAGAAATGTGTCACGTGATTTTCTTGGTATACTCTCTGTATGTTTCCCAATTCTATCAAAAGATCCTGTTGTATTTACATAATTTATATCACATAGGAAAAGGCCAACATTACAATCTGAATGATTCGAGAAAAAGATTTCCAATTCAGAAGATGTTTTCGATATTTTTCCTGCTACTCTTGTTCCAGCCCTTTTATAATCTTGAAGCTGTGAATCTGATTCTGAAATAGACGCCACTAAAATCTTCCCCTCTGGTTCACTGATCCTATAGACTGACATGTTGACAAGAGCTGATATCTGAGTGTCTTCCCTTATGTTTTCTGTACACTGGAGTTGTGCACAAAATAAATCCTTGCCGTGGTAAAAATATTCTCTGCTCATGTCAATTTTTAGACCTGGAAATAAAAAAATACATTAATAAGGATGTTGGCATTGTTTGGTTTTTAAACCTTATAAGAAAAACTATAGGATTTGTGTGATGTTAATGATTTAAGTATTTTAAAGCAAAATTTAAGACAAAATATATAGCATGTAGCTGATTGGTGTTGCGGAAAATAAGCTTTAAGACAGCTGTAAAGTCTGGACTTTATATGTGGAGCACATACTCGTAGAAATACTGCCACTTACACATAAAAATACACAACTTTCTGCAAGCCTGAAAATTATATTATTAATACATTGGTCTTATGGTGTCAGCAATACAAATCTATGGAGGCGGTCAATACAACGGATGGTCAAATAATAAAAAAAAAAGAACTGATGGCGATGGATCGACCACACTATCAGGAAACCAGCATCCAGCATCACCAGATAGGTCTTTTTATAGAGCTGACTTAGCAAAGTTAAAAAAAACCCCTTCATTCCAGAAATACTCGGAGAAGGGAAAGTCAAAAAAAAATGTGATGTAACGAGGGACAAATAGATACTGAGGTTTAGGATCGGTATTCTTGAATATGTTTTACTTGCGCCAAATCCTCTGAGTAGTGAGAAAGACGGGAAAAATTTATAAATGCGATTAGATTAGTATGCCAAATGGAGGCTTACCCCTATGAAATGGAGCCTCCTGAGAATTTTAAATTAATTTTAAAATTAGATGTGTTTATATTTAAGTGCAACATCTCAACAATTATTTTATTCAAAAGGTCCGAACAGAAATGCGAATTAATAAACCGGGCGTGGTGATTTCCCCTAAACTTTCTTGTAAATTACATTTTGAACACAGAATGGAATCTAATAGAAAAAAATGCGCTCGAAAATAAACACAAATTACGTGTGTATAACAGAGCCAAGATTTTGAGCTTTTATAGAGGAAACACAGCTTAACTCTTTTAAAGTTGATTATACATCTAATTCAGCCAAACTCACGATGCTGTGTCATCGATTATCGACTTTTGTGAAAGATTTTCGATAAATCGGTAAGGAAATAGCGTAAAGTAATACTTCTGTTCACCTGAAATCATTTAAGAGTTTATAGCATCAAGACCAAAAGGATCGTTAATCTAATTTTTCAATTTTGCTAATAAGCTGAAATTGTAATCAAGTTATCGATATTTTTTAAACAGAAATCGATGCAAGTAAAACTTCCAGTCATTGGAGTTTACTTAAAAATTGTTAGAGCTTCAAGTGTACGATTTTATACTTATATATGAATATTCATCTACCTAACTGATACGGTACTCAAGTTATAGTGTTTACATGGAAACAGAATAAAGTTCTGCATCCGTTTTCTTTTAAATCGTACACAATTTGAAGGGTACTTAAGAAATCTGAAGTGTAGTAAGTGCAACATTCGGTTCCGGAAAACTATCAAACTTTGATCCAAAACTACAAAAATATGATATAATTCTTATATATGAAATTTGTTAACAAATTTGAAGCGGTACTCAAGTTATCGTGTTTACATCAGATACACCGACAAACAGACAAAATTAAAAAACAACTGTATTTTTCTGACTTAGTGAGATGCTAAAGTGTCAATTTATTTATTTATTTATTGCACGTTCTCAATACTTTGTATGCCACAAAGTAAATATGACGATTTACATTTTAGAAAAATGTTTTTTGTTTTCTAGATTCAGAGATGTTTGTTTTCACATATTTGAATCTTGTGAACTCAAGAATGTAATTGATAATTACCTTTATTACTGTTAAATAAAAAAAAAATTAGCATTCAAATCTTACCTGTACTAGAAATAATATTCACAGCGATGAACATGTACAACGCAGGGAAAATCATTGTGGTAGCAATGTCCAATTATTCTAAATAAATAAATAAACAGAATATTTTGTTTTAAAAGCCAACTTCACTTTGACGACTGCAATCTCAACTAACGATTTGAAAACGTGGGCTGGTTTTATAGTCATTTTGTTTTCTTCTTTATTTTTTCAACACTATCCTTCTGACGTCAGTAAACTAAAAGGGGTAAATTGGATTTATTTTTAACTTCCAAATTCTTTCCTAAAATATTTACCCCCCCAAAGAGCCAAACCCTGGTACACTTTTAGATGTATAATTTTCTTCACATAGACTTTTTAACTTTTTTTACCACTCCGTTCTTTGCCAAAACTCAAATGTTTCGCTTACACAAAAAATGTAAAAAACTAATTTAAAAAATAAAATTCTGCATGTAGTTGGAGATTTATGTGACAATAGTGCGCTTAAACAGCTTTCGTCGAGATAAAATGGGAAACAAATCACGTAGAAAAGAACTTTAAAACGTAAATTGATTTAGCAAAGGCAAAAAAAAACATTTTGTAGAAAATCAGGGTTTAAAGCTTGCGGGTTATAATACAAACTTCAAACCTGTTTACATCGTTAGATGAAAATAACTTACTGGTGCAAAATATTCTACAGTAAGCAATTCTCAGCTTGTGGTTGTTGTTTACAGTAGGTTTTTTCAAAGACATTTTTTAAACGTGGGGTAAATTTTTTTTTTATATTTCCCATACTGTAAAATGAATTATGTTCACCTCCAAACACATTTTTCTTTTCGTTATAAGTTTTGTTGATTTTTTAAGAAATGAGACCAGGCCCAGATGAAGTACGTGCTGGCAGAGAGCATATTGTTTTGTGCAAGTAAAATTTTATATTTTTTAGGATTCACACCCAGACTAGAAAATGTTTAAAGGTTATTTATCAACAATATTAGAAGAATAATATTGTTGGAAGATTAGGCTGATTGGTATATTTTGTTTCAGCTATAGTTAAAAAAATGTTGACGTGATTTAGCCACTTTAGGAAAACAAAATGGAAATATTTATTCACAATGCCGTTTGTGTCACATAAAAATACATGCAAGCTCTACCAGATGATGCCACTTTAGAGCATGAGTAAGAGACGAGATCGGTGAACTCTACATGAGGAAGTTGATCCCTAAGATCAATGAATCCTGAGCCATTAAACCCTGTAGGCATTGACCTACACTTTGCTTTGTATTTTTTACATTCTAGGTGCATTTTAACACAAACCTTTTAGTATTGTATTAGCATATTTAAAGTAAATTCCTTATCATATTTCTTATCCTAACCCTAAGTCTAACACTATCAATATTCGCAACAGTCAATATATTCTAAACTCTAGTCTTGTCATATCCTTAGAGCTATTATGTTTCAAGTTAGTTATGTATAATTTAAGATTGTCCTTATCAAAACAAACAATCATACATGTGAAGACAACAGAACATATGATCGACTAAAATAAATGTATAGTTCCTTGTGGATCAAATTAGCTAATTATTGAGTCTAATCAAAGTTCCTTGCTGATTAAATTATTTGTTGAAACTAGTCATGGTTTCTTGTTAATCAAATTACTTGTGGAGTCTAGTCGAAGTTCCTTTCTGATTAAATCACTTGATAAATATAGTCATGGTCCCTGGTTCATCAAATCACTTGTTAAGTCTACAGGAACAATCCAAGAAACAAATACAAAAGATTTTACTAAAATAATAACATATAAGCTCAATTTTTATATTGGAACTTCTAAACGTGTATACAATGTCCAGCTGAGTAAGCTTCATTGTTTTCTGAGGTTGTATCGAAAGTGCAAGTCATCAGTATCGGCATGTGTTCAGAAGGACGAACATTTTTCAATTTTTCATTCCGTATTTCAATTTAATAAAATCAGTGTAAACTGATATAACATATTTTTAATGTCGAAGAAGTGTGATTTTTTTCTCTTCGTGCCCAATTTAATAAGAAAATAAAAAATTACCTAACATTTGCATCATCATCATCATTATCATATTTTCTCATAAGTTCCCAAGACACATTGGGCAGGTGAGGTAGAGTTCATCAGTTTCAGGGATCTCGGCCTTTACTTATCCTAACGTGTGTTAGGAACTCAACATAGATAAACTGTCTCAGTAACGTTTTACAGACTTGAACTCGGATTCGAACTTTCGGGTTTAAATCCTAGCTCTCTATCGCTAGGCCACGTTGTCCCAAAATCCATAGTGCATTTATTTTATTTAAACTTAAACTTATAATTCATTCTCTACGTCATTGCGTTATTTACGCAAATCCTAAATATATCTACTAGATAGTTTACATGAGACCCAACTTTAAATAAACGATGATACAACAAATTTTCCAAGTCGTATTTAATAGAGTTGTTTCCCTTGTAAAGATCTCAGCGCACCCGTGCATCACAAAATGTAACCACTCAATGAAGTAAACGTTGTGAATATATTATATTAATTAGCTTATATCTCATGTGTTGAAATCTAGTGTAACGAATTCGCACGTTTTTATCCCATATCCATTATAATCCTTATCAACCACGATGCAGTGTATGTAGATAAATTAAGCAGAGGGTAAGTACCAGTAACCGTGATAATGTATTGACTATATATTACTATAATAAGGTTGAGTATTACTTACAGATTCATCATTTTTAAAGAGGGTTTTCTTCTTTTGGTTAGTGGTAGGGCTAAATTTTATATTCTAATGTTGTTATACATTTTCAAATGTGCTATTTACGTTTTAACATCTAATAGTGTACACACCAGTTTTCTGGTTTATGAATTTTAAAAAAAACCCACACAAAGACTTAATTATATGCAGTCATCGGATCATTGGAAGTTTAATGTGTTTCATTAAGACCAGGTTTTCTCTTCGGTGTGGGGGTGGGGGGTGCACATTTAAAAACGAACATAATTTATACTTTGTTTTTCTATTTCGTCCGCGGCATGCGGTGGAAGTGCTCCATAGGAGGTGGAGGGGGAATCGATGCCTGGAAAAAACTCTAATTATAACTAGAGTCCACCATTGTTACTGTGTGGTTAGACCGAGGAATTGATCATATTACATTGGCTGTCGTGACCGCGTCTATAGGTACACACTGGCCTCATGGCCTAGGTCCATGGCTTATGGTCTTGTCATTGTCTCAGCAGTGATGTAGAGAGATTATCTTAACTTTAGAGGAAAATATATATGGTGGATAATTATTCGCCATTAGTTCAATTGATCGCTCTCGTTCAGATTCTGTCCTGTGAATAACACTGAGCCCACCCAGCTTTATTTTGTACCTGCCTTAGTTAAGGAAAGTAAATGAGACATGACATAGTGCTTACCCATGTCACGGATACAGGTGAACTCTACTTCATCTGCATCTTGAACTACCATATTTGGTAAAGCTTGGTTGTTGTTTGCTTTAATACAAAGCAAATGTGTTTATTGTGATGTTGACTAAATATATAATCTCTCAAATAATCTGTTAACATTTTTTTTAAATCTTGTATTGGTAGCCTAGCAATATGGCTGTCGGTAGCTGTGTCTTCTAATTTGGTGTCCTCGTTGTGGATTTAGGCAGTTTCTCTTGACTTAAAATATGGCGGATACCTGAGTGTAGCGCTGATAATAGACTGGTGAATAGCATAAAAACATTTAAACACAAAATTATTATTTTTTCATTTGATACAAATGTAGTTGAGTTGCTTCCCTTATTAAAGGGATATAAACAATAAAATAAAATTTATGTAATATTATATATTGTTACGTCCCCTTCCCATTTCGGAATTCGTAAACAAGAACAAATAATGATTAAACACAATTAGCTACTTTTTCTACACGTATCTGATACGATAAAAAAATACAACAACTATCATTAATACCGCCACAACTTCTAACACAATAAGCAGAATACGAAAATACGAGGTCCTTAATGTGACTACCCTATTTGTCCCTAACGGTAAATTCTAGTCTAAGTCTACAGACATCCCGTGGGCTCGCCACGAGATATGTCTCTGTTGGTCTACTAAGCCTGCTCTGTCCTAAAATAATCGAGTCCACCTTCTAGTGTATGGGACTGACTGAGTGGCGTAGCGGCAGAGTGCTGGACTGCTAACGCCATTTAGAGGGCCCACAGCCGACCATAATCATTTTTTTTATAGTTAAAAAAAATGTCTTGCATTTTTGACTTGATGGTTGTTTTGTCGGCAAAATGTTTTGAAAAAAGACCATTAGATATTTAGACGACTTTTGCTTCTTTATTGCTTTGGTTAGGGGACCACAATCCATTGCAATTTTACAATGTAAAATGTTAATTTATTTGTATTGGTAGAACTACTATTCTGTATTATCATGTAGGTATATTCTACAAAAATAAAAAAATGATATAATTTTTAAAAACTTCCGTTGTATGTACGTTTACTTATTTTTGTTTTGGGGTCATCCGTAAATGATGTCACGCTTTTTTTTACGATTGTTACCCCCCCCCCCCCCCCACCACATCGTCATAAAAAGCCAGACCGTCCCTCCCCTATCGTTTTTGTAAATAACAAATAGATCTACTACACTAGTGATGTTATACAGTAGTTAACCCATGATATTGCGTAAAATAACTATACAAGAGCTGTAGTGTGAAAGATAGACAAAAGTTTAAAACACTTCCATGACTTATTTCCCTTTTTTAAATAGTTACATAGGGGTGCCCATAAGCACCTTTTAATAGATTTGTACTAAACAAATTAAAAGCTATTCTCTTAATTACTATTTTTTTTAAATACATACTAAAGCATGACATAATATAAAATGGAAACGTATTTAAAATAAAAATAAAAAAATAAAAAAAAAATTCATAAAAAACGTTTTAATAACAAGCTTTTATGTAATGATGCACTAAAAAGTAGAAAATAAATTATAGACTACTATTGAAATAACTATAAAGAAAAGCGTGGGTCACTTAAGTATCTATTAGATACCTTTACTAATGTTAAGGAAGACACCCACGCTTTTCTTTATAGTTATTTCAATAGTAGTCTATAATTTATTTTCTACTTTTTAGTGCATCATTACATAAAAGCTTGTTA